TAATTTATGGTATTTCACAGGACGTAATAATCTTAGAAGTAAAATTGGTTTAATCAATGATATAAAAATTCATTTAGTTCAATTTTATAATGAAGATAATACAATGAATATGCCTAGATCCCAATTGTATATTCATAAAGGTAATGCTATACAAGGTTATATTGATTTTATTACAAATATACATATTAATCATTTACCTGATAGTATTTGTTTATCAATGAATCAAGGTGTGAATACATTTATTGTACAATGGTATACAATGAATAATACTACTACTACTCAATATTCATCATCGACTACAATACAAAATCCTTCTTCTCCGCCTTCTTCTTCGCCTTCTTCACCTTCTTCTTCTACGTATCATTATATATCGAATTATACATTACAACCTGTATCCTATTTTCTAGGTTATGATAATTCATTACAATGTAATAAAATGAAAGCAAAAACGATTTGGTGAAAGGGTTTTTACCACTAAAAATCAAATTTGTTTATTTTTTCAAATTTCTTTCATGTTTTCCTTTTTGCTTCTTTCTTCTCTGTTTCCTTTTTCATTCAGAATTGTAATTTGTGTTTCTAGGAGAAAACTTACTCACTTACTTACGCTTTTTACTGTTCGTGAAGGAGCATAGACCGCTCACCAGCATTCTCTATTGATAGTTCATCTAAAGTTATTGCCGATTCTAAACTCGGGTAAAAAAAAAGAAGAGGGTTGACCATAGGATTAACAACTCCATCCCGTAGTAAATTAACTTGATGAGATTATAATTGATAAATGAACAGAATAGATTTAATGCGTAATTCATTCCTTCATTTAACTAATTCATCATGGAAATATGATATTGAATTCCTAATTTTAGTAACTAAGTAGATATCTTTATGATCGATCATGTTACCATGGTACAAATCTTGTCCATAAATTATAATCTCTTATCACACTTAATCACATAATTAAGAATATTCATTTTTCTAAAATCTCTATGTCAAATTATATATCTTGATTATTTTGTTATAAATCAATAGAATGGGATGTTATTGTTTAAGTTGCATAATCTAGTCATAGAGTTTCCATTGTTTATCTGAATCCCATCATCATTATCATCATTATCATCATTCTATGGATCAATATGCAATTGATTTAATAAATTGTTTAGCATTTAACTTTCTGTTGTTGGTGTCTTACACTGTACTCCAAGTTTAATAGCATATGTTTATTGTGTTATTTGATTCAATTCACATGAAGCTTAGAAGTCGATGTTACCAAGAATCAGTGAATCGATGTTAAAAGTTAAATGTAAATATTGAAACCATTAGGAAATCAATCAGTAACTAGATAAACACTTTTTTTTTCAAAAAACGATACGGATCTTCACGGTAAAACGTTGTTATAAATAAATTCACTTGGTTTTGTTTTACTTGTATCGTCCCATTGTTATTTAAGACAGCAATTGATCAGTCTCATGTTGGCATTTGTGCATTCTGTGCGGATGGCTTCTATATTGACTGAAGTCAAGGCTCAGTAACTAAATGGATAACCCGATGGTATTTGAAGTCAATTGTACTGGGTTCGAATTTCAGTGTGAACATCAACTCTGGGATGCAGGTACATTTAACATTGACATATGTGCATACTGTGCGTATGCCTCGATATTGCCTTAATTTACAAGCATTATAAGCAGAGATGGATAGTGGCAGTCCTAAAGCGATGGCGTTTGAAGCGAACGGTACTGAGTTCGAGTCCCAGAGTGAACATCAACTCTGAGATGCAGGTACATCCAGCTGACGAGTCCCAAACAGGACGAAACGCGCGTCCTGGATTCCACTGCTAGCCACTATCCATATCTGCTTATAATGTTCAACCATCTAGCTCATAGACACAAAACTCTATCAAAAACTCAATATAGTACTAAACATGATGAAAGAAACAAAATGATCAATCTAAATTTTATGTAAAACGGTAATAATAAACAAACATATCAAACATACCAAGGTCAGGATTCTCAATACAAATGTCAAAACAGTATTACTGTATGGGGTGGAAACTTGCAGAACAACGAAAGCAATTATCCAAAAGATACAAGTGTTTATTAACAATTGTCTACGCAAAATACTTTGGATCCGTTGGTCAGACATTATCAGCAACAACCCACTACTATGGGAGGAAACAAACAAGATCTCAGCGGAGGAAGAAATTAGGAAGAAGCACTGGAATTGGATAGGACACACATTGAGGAAAGCACCCAACTGCGTCATAAGACAAGCCCTTACATAGAATCCTCAAGGTCAACGAAAGTGAAGAGGAAGACCAAAGAACACATTACGCCGGGAAATGGAGATAGACATGAGAAAAATGAACGAGAATTGGATGGAACTATAAAAGAAGGCCCAGGGCAGAGTGGGTTGGAGAATGCTGGTCAGCGGCCTATGTTCCATTAGGAGTAAGTAAGTAAGTAAGTACTCTAAGCTATAACAAATATCCAAAAGAGTTTTTAAAGAAGATTATTAAAAATGAAAGAAAAACTAAACTAGAATGTATACGAAAAGTTTGGAAGTACACCGTAGTCATACCATACAGTAGTGAAACATCGGAAGGAATCAAGCGGATTCTAAGCAAACATGATATAAGAGTGTATTTTAGAGCGAATAAAACCTTAGAATCGATGTTAGTGAAAGTTAAGGACAAGTTATCAAAGGAAGAACAACAAAATATTGTGTATGAGATCAACTGTCATAATTGTAATGCAGCTTATGTGAGAGAAACATCCAGACAACTGAATGTAAGATCGAAAAAACACAAACAGTGTTTGAAAAATGTTCCCGAATCCTCGGTTGATTTGAAGAAACTTTAGAATAAGTCTGTGATAACGATACATGCGTTAGAAACAGGACAAAAGATTAATTTTAATGAAACCAAAATACTTCAGAAAGCGTTTAACACTCATAAAGAGAGATTAACAGCAGAAGCGCTGTATATGTGGGCAAACAAGAAAAGCCTGAACCGAAAGGATGGTATTCAACTAGCAACTACCTAGAAAATATTACTTGACAAGTAATTTCAACCCTCTCTTTATTCAACCTATTTATTTCACATGCATCGTTATTTTTGATGGAAATTAATGTGCTTTAGCAGTTACAAATATGTATTCCACTAATTGAAATCATGAGTCCATTGAAGCTAGAACACCATGGAAAACCTGGAAGCATTGGATGGCCGTTTCACTCTAGTATGTGACTCCTCAGTAGCGCGCATCCATGATCCCGCACCCCACGTGATTCGAACCCAGGACCTATCAGTCTCGCATCGGTCTCGTATTTGATGATTCTCAAATCGACATGTACATCGATGATTCAGAAACAACTTTTCAACCTTGAACTTGCACTTTTAATTATTTATTTATTCCTTCATATATAAAATATCAACACCGAATATCAATAATTATTCTCACACATACATACATACATACATACATAATGACACACTCAAACACATACAATTTGTTTTTCAGTCAATTGTCTCTATGTCGTAGAACAATCCACATGATTACCGTGTAAACTCATCCGTGTTATCCTAATTTTACAAAAATCAACATCCAAATTTCATTGGTTTAACACAGTTAAGTTATGATTGTTAAAAAAGCTCTCTCTCTATATATGTCTTTGATGATTTTGAGTTTGATTATTCTATCCTGAAGAAGTTCAGACAAGTTAATTGGACGAAACATCAATCTCTGAAATTATTTCAAATCTAATTTTCACATATAATGACTTCTCTTTACTCGGTACCCAATTTCTGTCAAACTATTCGTTTTAATGTTGACGACTATTCGTATGAAAAAAAAACGGTTGGCTACAAAATGATACAAAAAAACAAAAAAACCCGGTTTTTTTATGGAATCCGTCAGTTAGTTACAATGTAGGATCAGGCATCCGTTCAAGTTATCTCATTATCTTATTACTATAGTAAGCTGAATGAATAATGAAATGGAATAATAATCAAATTGTTATATAAATTCAATTGTATTTACTGTTCATCACTGACCATGACATATTCCATTAGAATAATAAGAATATATATCATGACGATTATATGTGACATTTAAAAATACTTACTTACTTACTTACTCCTAATGGAGCATAGGCCGCCGACCAGCATTCTCCAATCCACACTGTCCTGGGCCTTCTTTTCTAGTTCCATCCAATTCTCGTTCATTTTTCTCATGTCTATTTCCATTTCCCGGCGTAATATATTCTTTGGTCTTCCTCTTCTCTTCCGTTGGCTTTGAGGATTCTATGCAAGGGCTTGTCTTTTGACGCAGTTGGGTGCTTTCCTCAATGTGTGTCCTATCCAATTCCAGTGCTTCTTCCTAATTTCTTCCTCCGCTGAGATCTTGTTTGTTTCCTCCCATAGTAGTGGGTTGTTGCTGATAATGTCTGACCAACGGATCCAAAGTATTTTGCGTAGACAATTGTTAATAAACACTTGTATCTTTTGGATAATGGCTTCCGTTGTTCTACAAGTTTCCACCCCATACAGTAATACTGTTTTGACATTTGTATTGAGAATCCTGACCTTGGTGTTGGTTGACAGTTACTTTGAGTTCCAAATGTTCTTCAGTTGTAAATATGCTGCTCTTGCTTCCTAAGAGTAGAAAATACTTTATTTAATTCAGTTGGTTGATCTTCCTTATCTGTAACAAGCTTAGTACTTATGTTCATTAAACTTTATACAATATTAATTTTCGTGCACGGTTCATGGGCTGAATTAAAATCTAAGTATCTCTCGGAATCTGTTGATTTCCTGTAAACATTTATTTTCAACTTATTTTTTCATTTTGATAAGCAAAAAAGGTGATGATCAAAAGATAAATAAACGATTCACCACATTGATTTGTTTGTTTATTATTACCGTTTTACATAAAATTTAGATTGATCATTTTGTTTCTTTCATCATGTGTAGTAATATATTGAGTTTTTGATAGAGTTTTGTGTCTATGAGCTAGATGGTTGAAGTTTATCTTGATGGAGAAGAAGAAGAAGAGGAAGAAGAAGAAGAAGAAGAGGACGAAGAAGTGGAAGAAGAAGGAGAGGAAGAAGAACAAGAGGAGGAGCAAGGAGAAGAAGAGAAAGAAGAAAAGGAAGAGGAAGAGTATGAAGAAGAAGAGGAAGAAGAAGAAGAAGAAAGAGAAGAAGAGGAAGAAGAAAAGGAAGAAGAAGAAGAAGGATGAGATCTCCACGACTAAATTATTCATCTCAAAGAACAAAACGACTACTTGTTTTCATCAGATCTGATAACTTGATAAGTCTTACGGATCGAACGCTATATTCGTATCCTAAGCTATTCTGTAACCCCCCAACCTAGAACTATACAGTGACCTTAACACGAGAGCGAAGATTCAAAGAATGCCAGAAGTACTTTATTCCAAGGTTCATTTTAATACAGAAAATATAGGGTTTTGATAATAGTTTAAATATCCTTGGGTTGCTAGAAGATTCTGGAATGCTACTCAACATAGTAGCAGTGTAGCAATCAACCAATCAGAGCCTCTGCATGTGACGTTTCGCTTCCTTGATATTTTGGGCTAAAACTTCAAGTGAACGCTGATTGGATGAAACGCTCTTTAGTGTTTCCTGATGCTTGCTTGTCTTTTGCAAGTAATTTTCTGGATCACCCCAACATAACTAATACAATTAAACTAGATATTTATATTCTAGGAATAGTTGTTGAGGATATTTATCACAGTATTGTAAATTCATTACATAAAAACTATTCATTTGATACTTTTATTACTATGCCGATAAGAGTAATCGATCATAGGTGTTTTCGAAGCATTGCATGTATATCCTGGGATCACCAAGCGAGTAATGCACTTGTTAGAAAATGGGTACTAGGTAAGGATGGTAAAATCAATTGATGAAATAGTGAAACTTCATCAGTTGAGATGACTGCGACATGTATTACATATGTCCAACAACAGGTGTCAAATGAGTTATATATTCTCGTATCCTTATAATTATTGGTTGTTTATTATTGTTGGAATATGTCGGGTTTTTGGTGTGGAAAAATATTTACGTTCTTCTCAGGCTAATCACGTGTTCTTGATCTGAGTTGTGTTGAAGTCCTGTAGAATAGACACTGGGAGGGGAATCTAGTGAAGATATTCTTCTAAGGTAAATTAACGTCCCATTCATGTAAACGTTGTAAACTCAACCATTATAACAGTAACTCAGTTTAAATCACTACTTCACAAGCTAAATAACCAAATCAAAATTAATCCAAGTTTTATTTGAAATTATCAAATCAAATCTTAGTAATGATACATACAATTTAAAGTTATTGTTTTCTATGGCTTATTGATGGGAGCAACACATCACATCATAGCCGTAACACCTGCTAGTTTCAATAGTGTAATAAGAAGAAGACGAAGATTATCAGAAGTATGTGATAATGGATTAATGCAATACATTTCGAACAATTTGATCACATATAATATACTTGTTAAGAACTAAACTACACTAGAAATGCAGAGTATGAAGAGGCAAGGATAATAAAGAAAACAGTTTGAAACTTTATCACTCTGGATAATGAATTAATATTTCCATGGTAGATTCAAAATGAGAACAGATCGTTTTTGACTACACAAAGGGAGTTTGAATTTTCGTATGGCTAATGCTTTAATAAACTTTAGTATATGCCATTTTGTACAACACCACAAAAATTAAAAACACGAAGTTCAGTGAAGGGATCTTGTCAATCAATTACTTACCAAGCTGTACAATCGTTTATAGATCTGAACAGTTTTTTTTTCTGTTAAAGTACTAGTTCCGTGAGGAAATGTCAACAAGGTTTAACTAAGATGATGTAATAGAAAGATTCTACTACTAGATTACGTAATATAAGTAATAACAATAGACTTAATAAGTTAATAACGAATTATAATGTGAATGTGTTAAGATGATTAAAATGTTTCTGTTACAATCATTGTAGGTAATTAAAGGTAATAGAGATGCGAAATAAATAAAGTGATATCATGAGTAATTATGAATAAATGAATGAGAATATGAAATATAAGTCAAGGGAGAAATATGCTGGAAAAATAATAATACCAAAGTAACAATAACCATAGAACGTAATTCTTTTGTATGCATGGTTCCAAACTGAGCCCATGGATGGTAAGAGCTTCGGCTTGTTTTAGGAGTTGGATAGATTTGTACGAACGATATATACAACCTTAAAAGGAAACTGCAAATCCATAGAATGATTACAGTCGATTAGATGTTCAATTATACAACTCTTAACTGCTTTCCTTTCACCCTTATAGAATCAAACTGCGACCTGTTCCCGTACCAGAGTTGAAAGCAAACGCTGTCGATGGCCAATGTACTTTACTCCACAAGAGTAGATGAACTGACAGATACCCATGAAGGTGACCAGGTGGGGAAGCTTATCTTTTATGAATACAGAAAATAAGTTCCTACTAGTGAACGTTATTCGCAGTTTTGCTGCATTAAATATCTTTTTAATCGCTGTCATTAAACGATTTTTGATTACATCAGATGTCCGATCACCCTTTAAATTCCAAACTTATATAGAGATTTTTCTTTGGAACGGAACAACCAGATTTCTTGTCGCGTTTGGTTGTTTTCATATCCTTATCTATGAAACGGTCTGGATAGCCACAAAGGCAGAGTTAAGATCAATTTTATGACAAGTATATGTATGATCAGATTGCGCTAGTCCATCATCATATAGTTCTGATAATCTTCGTCTTCTTATTACACTGTCGAAATCTATCAAAGGGACTAATTGCTCTAAATTCCATAAAAGAAGACTCTGCACCTGCCAGCTTGTTGTATACCGTTTCAGCTCAACTTCCAAACGTGATTCTGATGACACAGATAATTCACAGAATACAACATTACCATCAAATGCCCTTGTTAAATCCAAATTCATTCATTCTATTATCTACATGTAATGCGACTGTAATGATTTAATAATGGAACAAACTTGAATTGCGTTGAAAATCAAACAGTTAATTGTAAGTATTCAGCAGTAGCATGGACTAAGAAATACAGGGAGGTATTAGCACTCGTTAAATTAGATTTAGAAGATTAATAAAACCGATCGACAGTAAACTATTTACTCAGAAAAACACTCAATTTGAATTTGCTCATTTAGACATGTTAATCTGTATTATCAAAATTTACAAACCTAAATAAGATTTACATTATGCTAGTAAACCGACGTTTTGTTCCTTGAACTTATTGAAGGATGCCTTCTTACAATGACTTACTGTTCTAAATGATTTTACAGAAGTATTTATAACAACGATGGATAGTGGCTAGCAGTGGAATCCAGGACGCGCGTTTCGCCCTATCTAGGACTCGTCAGCTGAATGTAGTTGCATCCCAGAGTTGATATTCACACTGGGATTCGAACCCAGTACAATTGACTTCAAATACCATCGCGTTATCCATTTAGTTACTGAGTCTTGACTTCAGTCAATATCGAAGCCATCCGCACAGAATGCACAAATGCCAACATGAGACTGATCAATTGCTGTCTTAAATAACAATGAGACGATACAAGTAAAACAAAACCAAGTAAATTTATTTATAACAACGTTTTACCGTGAAGATCCGTATCCTTTTTTGAAAAAAAAAGTGTTTATCTAGTTACTGATTGATTTCCTAATGGTTTCGATATTTACATTTAACTTTTAACATCGATTCACTGATTCTTGGTAACATCGACTTCTAAGTTTTTTGTGAATTGAATCAAATAACACAATAAACATATGCTATTAAACTTGGAGTACAGTGTAAGACACAAACAACAACAAAAAAGTTAAATGCTAAACAATTTATTCTTAAATTACATTGTATTTAATTAAATCAATTGCATATTGATCCATAGAATGATGATAATGATGATGGGATTCAGATAAACAATGGAAAATCTATGACTAGATTATGCAACTTAAACAATAACATCCCATTCTATTGATTTATAACAAAATAATCAAGATATATAATTTGACATAGAGATTTTAGAAAAATCAATATTTCTAATTATGTGATTAAGTGTGATAAGAGATTATAATTTATGGACAAGATTTGTACCATGGTAACATGATCGATCATAAAGATATCTACTTAGTTACTAAAATTAGGAATTCAATATCATATTTCCATAATGAATTAGTTAAATGAAGGAATGAATTACGCATTAAATCTATTCTGTTCATTTATCAATTATAATCTCATCAAGTTAATTTACTACGGGATGGAGTTGTTAATCCTATGGTCAACCTTCTTCTTTTTTTAACCGATCTTAAAATCGGCAATAACTTTAGATGAACTACCAATAGAGAATGCTGGTGAACGATCTATGCTCCTTCACGAACAGTAACACGCGTAAGTAAGTGAGTAAGTTTTCTCCTAGAAACACAAATTACAATTCTGAATGAAAAAGGAGATAGAGAAGAAAGAAGCAAAAAGGAAAACATGAAAGAAATTTGAAAAAATAAACAAATTTGATTTTTAGTGGTAAAAACCCTTTCACCAAATCGTTTTTGCTTTCATTTTATTACATTGTAATGAATTATCATAACCTAGAAAATAGGATACAGGTTGTAATGTATAATTCGATATATAATGATACGTAGAAGAAGAAGGTGAAGAAGGCGAAGAAGAAGGCGGAGAAGAAGGATTTTGTATTGTAGTCGATGATGAATATTGAGTAGTAGTAGTATTATTCATTGTATACCATTGTACAATAAATGTATTCACACCTTGATTCATTGATAAACAAATACTATCAGGTAAATGATTAATATGTATATTTGTAATAAAATCAATATAACCTTGTATAGCATTACCTTTATGAATATACAATTGGGATCTAGGCATATTCATTGTATTATCTTCATTATAAAATTGAACTAAATGAATTTTTATATCATTGATTAAACCAATTTTACTTCTAAGATTATTACGTCCTGTGAAATACCATAAATTAGTTTCTATGGCATTTAATATATTCATTGTAAATATAGTTAAATGATCAATTTGTATTAACCATCCAGAAGATATAGTTGTTTGAATTCTTTGATCTATTGGTAATTGAATTATTTTCAATAAAGATGTAAATTGATTTGTTATTGATAAAAATAATTTCATTAAATTTGATAATCCACCAGAAAATAATTCATTTGGTAATAATGAT